GGTGGCTAAACAGTGACTGGGAGGCGTTTCTGTCCGTCCCCACCCCAGCCGAGCTGTCGTGTGCCGGGCGCCGGCGGAGGCCAACATTCCGCTGGCTCCCTGTCAGGGGCGCACGCTATGAGCTGTGCTCCGGTGACGCTCGTCCACGGGGACCACTGGGGACGGCACGTGCTGGTCCGACACGCAGTTCGTGCCGTGACGACGCTAGGAGACGCTGGATCCTGGAGGGCAAGGCCGCTGGCGAGATGAGACTAATTACGCACAGATTGGATCGTGCAGAGAATCTTCTTTTAGTCATCACGGGAATGCGCAGCTTGTTAGCCCAGCGTGAAAAACACCAATGGTACCTACTCGTTATTCATGCTGGTTAGTTCAAATTACTGCTTTGAGCATTGCAATAACCGCGGCAGTTTCACTTATTGGGTGTGATTTACTGCTTTGACCGCCTCGTCTCTGAATGGGAGCGGCACCCGCTTCATTGGCGCACTGTGGCGCTTTGTCAGGCTGAGTCCTGTCACCTCAGTGACCCGCGGTGGAGGCCGTGACCCCGTCCAGCCCTCCAGCGCGCAGTGAACCGGTCCACAGCCTGTTTACTGAATATCATATCGGTGAGCAGGCACCCTCTGTTGACTGGAGACCCACCGATCTGTCCGATATCATCATGTCGACCCCTGCAGACTGGACTCTGTCCTATGGACTCTGTGTCTCTCGACCGCAGCTCTTCCAACTCCCTCTTGGCTGCCTGCCAACCATGACAGGGACTCTGCTCTGCCATCCTAATGTTGCCTTCCCCATGATCGGTCACGCTGGTAGAATCCCCCTCGGGAATACCCAGCCGATTCCCCTCATCGCCTCACGGCCCGTTTGCCAGCAGGACGACGTCGCTGATTACTCCACGATGAGTCCACATAGCTGGTCGTGCCTCCAGGGCTGGGTCACTGTTTGTCTTAGTCTGCGAAATGCGATCATCTGGCGACCTATTGTGGAGGTCCTGTAAAGGGCTGCCCGCCCTTCATCATTTATCAGGGTGGTGTGGTGCGACGTAGCGGTGTCGGGCTGTGTGTCGACTGTGGATGCGATCCTATGACGCAGTGATGTGGTGGGGGCCGGCCAAGGCCTGGTGTGGTTGGGCGGCCACAAGGCGATAGGTCAGTAATTATGGTGAGTCACCGTATCAACAATGAAGGGAACTAGGAGGATCCCCGCGGTATACCGGCTGGTGTAACTCGTCATTACAAACGCGGTGGCGGTAACGCCAGGCGTTGTTTGTTTACGTTTAGAATTTCACTGCAGTGTGGTGTATATTATGTTGTCAGTTAATTCTGGATACTTGCTAGTTGAACTAACTCCCGGGGTCCTGGCAACGTAGTCCTAAAGTGCCATAGAAAGAAGATGCTTCATGGAACCTGTGAACGTATGGAGAGTTATACGTGTATATGCGACCACGTAATCCACAGAAAGTGGGACGTATTTCACGGGAAATTCCCAATCAATTGCCTTCGACCTCATTACCGATGTCCGATTACATGACTTCAGAGGCAGCCGGAACTTCGATTAGTAGTCTGCTTTAGCATAACACCATAATGTATGATGCATTACCAACGTTGCTTATGGCATTTTCGACATAACATAGTGAATGACTGCCCAGATGGGCCATTGCTTAGCAACTTCTGACAGTTTTTTTGCATTTCATTGAATTTTGCAGAATGAAATAGGTAGGTACTCGCTTGGCTTTTAGATTAGACTAAATGATATGTCTGAAATGCCATTTCTGAATTCCAAAAGGCTGTTTTAGCTAGGCTGTTGATTGATGACATTCATGATGATAACCTCCACAATGTCATGGATGACGTAATGTAACTTTATTGTCTGATTTCTTCGGAGCTATGTGTCTGGGTATGCCAAGATCAAATACCTTATTTCTGAGAATCACGTCTGAATTCGGACCACAACTTTGTCATGGAGAATGGACTGTCTGGTTCAGATGAGTTTCCTAACAATTCTTTCTTCTGTTTAAAACGGACTCGAAACATGAATATCGGGAAGCTGTCATTTTCGTGTCATTTCCGCATTCTTTAGTAATGCCTCAAAGCCATCTTCGATACAGATGAAAGACTCATTATCTACCTTTCGATAATATCAATCATTACGAATACCGCGATGGCCTTACGTTGGGAAGTAAACCTGTAATAGAAATAAGCGTATTACAGTCTTGTTCTGTACAATGTAGGGGAGAGTGGGGCACATTCGTGCATGGGGCACATTCGTTTTCAGCAGTTTATGGGAACACGAGTGACTGCACGAGCTCAAGGTAAATTATGGAAATATGTCTATCATTGCCGCCCTTCGTTCACCGTAGAAGACAACACTGTACCTGCTGTCATGCTTGATAAAAACGCAAATTTGTAATATTCGTGAGCTTTCCAAACTTTTCTCATATCATCCATTTTCGTGATCCTGACTCGGAAATGTGGTTCAGCTTTTCAAAATTGGGGGTGAAGAAGCCCACTCTATTCACGGAACTGCTGCAAACTATATTACTAATAACGTTGTGGGGCAGGTTCGTGTACGCACTGCCTGGGGGCACATTCGTGCATATTTTTTTTTTTAGTTTTTGCGATTTATGACTTTATCTGTAGTAGGTTTCTTTAATGACGCTCGCCTGACTCAGTCTCGACTGCTTGCGACGTCGTGACGAGCAATTCACGCGAACTTGGCGAGGTCACGGAGGCCGGCAGTTGGCACATTCTTGTTGGCCAGCCCATTCTTTCTACATTTGTTGTGCAATGCATTCTTGTCGAAAGGAATCAAGTGAAATGACCCCCTGCCAATTTCCTTTGGTAAATTTCTGGTAATGCCCGGTAATTTCTCGAATTTTGCCGGGTGAACGGAAGTGCCCCATCTCTTGAACGAATGTGCCCCATAGGTGGGGCAGTTTCGTGCAAATGTTCAGAGTTAATAAAAGTCATTTTTTCTAATGGAAGCAATAATTTTATAGGATAACTTTTAAAGAGGAAAACTATCTGCAATAGTTCCTTTCCATACTACAATCAACAATTTTGCCATTGCACTAACCAAAGAACAGATATACAGTCGTCCTCAAAATTATTCATACCCTTGTTAATTTACGACATATTTTGCTTTTTTGATGAAAAGAAAACATTTTGTCGAGCTTATTTATGATTTATATATGACCAACAGGGGAATGAATAACAGCAACATACAACTGACAAAATATTCAGTTTCAGGTTTGTTTTATTCATGAATCTTTGAAAACACTCATGTTCAAAAATATTCATACCCTTGGTTTTCAGAGTTCAGTGTCTTTCTTCAGTAGTCGATAGCATATCCTTTGTTCCTTATTACTGCTTCTAGTCGGTTCCTGTAGGTGCTCACAAGCTTGCCACACGTTTCCTGTGGGATTTTGGACCATACTTCCCTGGCGAAAGCCTCCAGCTGGGTCAGGCTAGTCGGTTTCCTGGCCGTCACTCGGGTCTTCAAGTCCCGCCATAGATTCTCTATGGGATTCAGATCAGGACTCTGACTAGGCCACTCGAGGACGCTGATATCATTGTCCTCGAACCATTCCTTGACTACTTTAGCCGTGTGTTTGGGATCATTGTCTTGCTGGAACTTCCAGTTGTTGCCGGCCCGAGTTCCAGCTTCTCTGCAGATTCCTTCAGGTTTTCGTCCAGAATTTGGATATAGTCCTCCTTTCTCATGGTGCCCTGGATCCTAACGAGGTTTCCTGTGCCGCGGGAAGAGAAGCATCCCCACAACATGATGTTTCCGCCACCGTGCTTGACGGTTGGCACCGTGTACATGGGATTGTAGGCCTCTCCTTTACTCCTCCAAACATATGCAGCATCCATGTGCCCAAACAACTCCAACTTCGTCTCATCAGACCACAGGATGTTTGCCCAGAAGTTGGAATCTTGCTGCATATTGCCTCTAGCAAGGCTCGCCTGGCCTTTGCTAGAGGCAATATGCAGCAAGATTCCAACTTCTGGGTAAACATCCTGTGGTCTGATGAGACGAAGTTGGAGTTGTTTGGGCACATGGATGCTGCTTATGTTTGGAGGAGTAAAGGAGAGGCCTACAATTCCAAGGACACGGTGCCAACCGTCAAGCACGGTGGCGGAAACATCATGTTGTGGGGATGCTTCTCTTCCCGCGGCACAGGAAACCTCGTTAGGATCCAGGGCACCGTGAGAAAGGAGGACTGTATCCAAATTCTGGACGAAAACCTGAAGGAATCTGCACAGAAGCTGGAACTCGGCAACAACTGGAAGTTCCAGCAAGACAATGATCCCAAACACACGGCTAAAGTAGTCAAGGAATGGTTCGAGGACAATGATATCAGCGTCCTCGAGTGGCCTAGTCAGAGTCCTGATCTGAATCCCATAGAGAATCTATGGCGGGACTTGAAGACCCGAGTGACGGCCAGGAAACCGACTAGCCTGACCCAGCTGGAGGCTTTCGCCAGGGAAGAATGGGCCAAAATCCCACAGGAAACGTGTGGCAAGCTTGTGAGCACCTACAGGAACCGACTAGAAGCAGTAATAAGGAACAAAGGATATGCTATCGACTACTGAAGAAAGACACTGAACTCTGAAAACCAAGGGTATGAATATTTTTGAACATGAGTGTTTTCAAAGATTCATGAATAAAACAGACCTGAAACTGAATATTTTGTCAGTTGTATGTTGCTGTTATTCATTCCCCTGTTGGTCATATATAAATCATAAATAAGCTCGACAAAATGTTTTCTTTTCATCAAAAAAGCAAAATATGTCGTAAATTAACAAGGGTATGAATAATTTTGAGGACGACTGTATGGGTTTATCCATTTTTTGCACGAATGTGCCCCACTCTCCCCTACATCCTAACCGTAACATGTTTGACCCCTGACTCTCATACTTTGACTGGAATGGGCCGTCCGGATCTCAGGGACCTCTCACCCGACCACGTCTCACCACGCCACTCTTCTCTGCCCACAGGGTGTTCGTCAACCGATCCCTCCATCTGGAGAAGATCAAGTTCTTCGGGTTCGACATGGACTACACCCTGGCCGTCTACAAGTCGCCGGCGCTGGAGAAGTTCGCCTTCGAGCTCATCAAGAAGCGTATGGTGGACATCGGCTACCCGGCTGAAATCATGCAGTTCGAGTATGACCACAGCTTCCCGATCAGGTGAGGATTTTTCGTAATTAACAATTAAAATGCTATTGTATGCATTTTTATTTGCCCTTCGACGCTCAATTTCATTTTTCCGCAAAAAAATAGTGTCATTTTTTCGTGTGAGAAAAATGGTTCGTTTGATTTACCCAAAAGAAATAATAAATTTGATGGTGATTTTGTGTTTTATGGACCATTCTTTCATTATCCACTCATGAAATGAACTCCTCTGATTGAACGCCTCACGGAGCAGCAATTGGATCCGACCGTGTGATACGACTCTGACCTGACTACAATGTCCGGCTGTTACAGAGGTCTGTGGTTCGATACCCAGTTCGGTAACCTGCTGAAGGTGGACGCCTACGGAAACATCCTCGTCTGCGTGCACGGCTTCAAGTTCCTCAAAAAGTAAGTATGCCGTTAGGAGTTTCCAGTGAGATTCGCAGTTTGATCGTGAATGAACAACGTGTGTGTTCGTTTGTATAATGTATATTCTATGCATGCCGTTCGTCACTTGTCTATTCCGTCAAACTATGTCTGGAACTAGACAGCTCTGTCCAATATTTATACCTAGACGCCTGCAGTTTAGTTTCGCTGTCCCCATGTCCTGACAGCGATGTTTGAAACCGCCATAAGTTCAGCTCCCTCTGAGGTGGTCATCAGCCGAGGCAGTGCAGTGACCCCTGCCCCCTGACCCCGCGACCCCGTCTGGCTATCAATCGTACCGTTTGGCCCGTGGGTCTGTTCACCACCCGGCCCGGTCTGTGTCTGTCGACCCTCTGGCTCTCGCAGCCTGACCAGTGAGCGGTCACAGGGGACGGTCAAGTGATGCGCTCCAGACGGCACGGGTGGCCGCGCGCCGTGTGGTGGCTACGCCGAGCTGCGTATTACAGCCACAGCACAGACAGATGGACACTTTTGAACGGCTTCTGTCGCTGGGGTACGGGGGGGGGGGGGCTGGTGGTGATGGTTTGAAGTGTGTCGGACATGCTAATAGCGGATAATTTGAAAAACCGAATGTGCATTGATTATCTCATAGACATGCACAAACTAGTGAAATCATATTTTGGTGGCATGTAGCAGCGTATTGCTTGCATAACTCACGTTTTTTTACATACATTTATTACGAGAATGAGCTTGTTGAATATCAAGTGAAACTAACATTTTTTATTTGCATTAGCCATCTCTGCAAATCTTTTAGTGCAATCCAGGCATTCTTGAACTAGCTGCGATTCGATTTCACCATGCTGCAATACGGTGCATGGCTGTCGTTACTGGCTCATTGTTTGAAAAGCTTTGTATATTTATACCTGTCTCGCCACGTTCGTCAGACATGTCAGAGCTTTCACGTTGCCTGTCTGGAGCCCGTGTCACGTCGACATGTGTCCACGTGGTCTGTTGTCAGGTGCCCCTCCTGTCGAGCCTGACGTGACGGTCACGCCCATCGTGTGTCTGTGTCTCAGGGCGGAGATCTACGAAATGTACCCGAACTCGTTCATCACACTGGACGACTCGCGCGTCTACGTCATGAACACGCTATTCAACCTGCCGGAGATCTACATCCTGGCGTGCGCCATCGACTTCTTCTCTAACGACCCGTCCTACACTCTGTGAGTGCGCATGGGATATACCTCTACTGATCGGAAACTAATCTAACATCGCAACTACATTTGCTAGCGGGGCGCAGTTTCACATTCATATATGTTGTAATCCGAGAAAGCGAGATTCTTGTAGCTGCAATTTACAAACAGATAAGCACCTATCTTAAATTATATGCATCTGAAACGCTCTTATAAGGTTTTGCATATCGCATCTTGCGCCACCAAGGCCTAGTTCATTGTATCCTCTGTTTAGTAGTTTTTCCACATCATAGCTGTTTGCGTACGTATACCGCAGTTATTAGATCCTTTTTTCTTTTGTCTTTCTTTAGACACAGCTAATTTTGATAAATAACACCCGTAAATGCTTGAACTTAAATCGGTCCTTTTCGTTTCGTTTAACGTGGCACAGTGTTGATGCCTCCTATTTTTCCAGGAGCGGTCCTATCGGGTAAATATTTATTTGGTCGCTGTAGTCGGATCCCCCTCCCCACTAACCGATGAGTGTTTCGTCACTGGATGGTAACCGTCACCCGTTTAATGAGGTAGATGTATTTGTGTTTCGGGTTCGCGGGACCAGTATATCCCTCGTCAATGTAGTCGCTTGTCATTCAGTCGCCTGGCTGCGTATCCGTCCTGCTAATCGCACAGCTGTGCCCGCTGCGATGCAGGTGCTTGGACCGCCGTGTCTGCTCACGGTGGACGGGTGAATGTTGAAAATTGTACTGGACACATGCACTGGAGTAGGCGGACTGCACCAGCACCCCTTTTGTTAGGGTTGAAATGATCCCACTAACCGGGGTGTACACTGTGCATCTCCCTGTATTGCCTTCAGGTATGGGGGATGGCTATTTCCTTATCTTTTGGGGAATGGCTGTTCTCTCATGCCCAAAAGTCTGTATTTTGTGACAATTTTTACATCGTCTGGGATACGAACTAACACGTTTCCAGTTTTCCACTGGTGTAGCGAATTTTTATATCCCGCTCCTTTTTTGTACTTAATTTCAATAGTCGACGACCCACTACTGCCAGCCCATGCGTCAGCCAGGCTTTGTGGTGCGGTCTGACACGCCACCCTGAGGTGGCGGTACGTCTGCATGGTTTGGGCCCTCCCGAGGCATGAAGCCATGGTCGGCACCACTGGCAGTGTCCGGTCAGGCTCCATTTAATACATTTGTTCCTTTGTTCCTTTATTATTCGGTGGTTCTGTGCCACGGACCTGAATAGATGGGTAAGGAGCTGTCCTTCACATTCCAATTTTGATTAGCCTTTTGTCACAACACGTCTATTCAGACTGCAGAACGCTAGGAACCCCCAAGGGGCCCTGTTTACGTCGGTATACAACATATTGAATTGAATCGCTGTATAATATCATTTGCTCATTATGTATCCTACATAATTACTGTGGGATTCCCGGGCCCGTTTGAGGCCCGTTTGAGGTCCCGTTTGGCCTGGTGTCAAGGAATCACAGCAGTGATGACTCACGTGTGAATAACGCGACCATCAGTAGTCGGCGGAGCCGGTTTTTTATAGCTAGCCGACCGGTCGCCTCCGCTGTCCTCTCTTTGATGTAGGCAGGGCGGTGCTGCTCTTTTTTTCCTTGGATGCTGTGGACCTAACACAGATGAACGTGAAACAAAGAGTATTGGCCCATGGGGATGAGGACAGGCTGGCGGACAGAATAGGAAGAGTAGAGCAATAGTTGTCAAGTGGTAGGGATCCTAAGACAGGGTGTCTTTCGAGAGTAAGTGGTGTGTTCTCTAAATGGAAAGCATTAATGAGTCAAATATAGGTAGATGGAGTCTCTCTGATTAGAGGCCGTCCTGCGTCGGGGTGGGTCGGGAGGGAGGGTGGGGTGTTTGACGGTTCGGTCCGTACCCCTAGGCGCGCCTGTGTGGCCTGGCTCGGTCCTTCCGCCGCCCGCGCTGAGCCGGCCCGCGGCCTCTGGCCTCCGCGGGCGCCCCAGACACCAAATGTTGGTGCGTGGCTCGGTCCGTTTGCACGAACGGAACTCGGCTAGAAAGGAAACTCCTTAGACGAAGTATTTGTACAGACGTTCCTCATTAAATCGCTATACTAAGATATACTTCATCCTTATGATAAACTGAACCTAATAGTCGTTCTTTCGTTCATTCAATATCTCTTCGATGAGGTCGCTTTCATTCTTGTTGTGCCATATTTCGATCCATCTTCTGCATCTGTCATTTAGTTGAATTGTTTTCTATGAGATTCTGATCTATATAGTTTCTGCTTTTCTTAGTTACCAATTCTGTTGCCGTCTATGCAATGAATAAATCGATGCATTAAACTGACGACTTGCCCTTATCTGTCGTCGGAAATATCCTGCCAAACTGCCCTCTCCACTGTTCCGGTGACCGTGCCGTAGCCTGACCACGCCCTCCACCCTACTGACGCACAGGTCCAATGACGGCGTGAGGAACGGCGACCTCTTCATGAGCTACAAGTCCATCTTCCAGGATGTGCGCCAGAGTGTCGACTGGGTCCACATGAAGGTGGGTCCAACGGGCAGAAGGCGTCCTTGCGTAACACGGTCGGGGAGGGCTAGCCCGACATTTGCGTCTTGTAATGGAAGGTGGATTAGGATTCGTACTCGCACGTGATTATGACGTTCCACAGACGGATTTTGTCGGATTCCGCATGACGTGATGATGACTTTAAACGTAAGCTTATGTAAGACGCATGCTTACATAACGTAACTGTATGCGCAGCCTAGTTTAGAGCTCTAATATAGCTGAACGTTTAAACTTAGCCCGTCGACTCATATCTTGTTCCTGAAATAGTTCACATGAAGCATCCGTAATCTTAACTCTTCGCAAAATAGTTAACATAAACCATCTGTATTCCGTAATCCTAACTTTTCGCAAAATAGTTTACATGAAACATCCGCAATCCTAACTTTTCCAACCCTCCTCATTAATGCATTGCATTGCTCATAATGCATTGAACATAGGACCATGTTACGGGACTAATCAATGCACGTTGCACAATGCGCATTCTTTGATGTTGTCAAATCACCCGATTTGTCGAGTTGACTAGACATTCTTAATTTCCTTGACTTTGCTATGCTATTGGTACACTTATTTTTATCCTTTTAGAGCTCGTCTTAGATTCGACGCCAATCCAGCTAAAATATATGACATGTTCTTTGTCTTTCTCTTCCCTCTACTCCTATTTACTTTAATTTTGCTTGACGACGGTTAGACGTGCCACATGTCCATTGTCCATTGTCACCATCTTTGCTGTTATGGCGTCTCATAAAGCTAGTGGACAGGCCTTTTCCTTTATCAGTCTCTGTTTTCGTGAATGCATTTGTTACTGAACCTGATATGTATGTACTCATTTCCTTGTTTGTAGTTTTGACTCTTCTAAATATACGGATATGTCTCGTCTCGAGCGGCACATGCCCCTTTCAAGGAAGTATCTTTCCTCTTCACAGTAAAAACTTTTTTCGGTACCTACTTCTCTCCCCCTTTCCTCTCCATCAACCAATGTAATATCTGCATGGCTTGCTATGCTCGTTCCTTCTCGTCCGATAGTCCTATTACTCCCCTATATCCCCCATCCTCATTTATTTATCAACTGGTCCGATAGGTTGACTGGTTATGCCAGTTACGACTTGGTTATGACTGATTTCACCTAATGTATGGAGTGATACTGAGCTATCGTGTCAATCAACTCTGCCACCATGCCCACCCATAGACCCACCGTATCTTACTCTCCCTAAACGCCCGCTCACCCCGTCTCATTCACAGGGTGACCTAAAGAAGCACACTGTAGCCTCCATCGACGACTACGTCCACCGGGACGAGCGGCTGCCCATGCTGCTCGACCGGCTCCGCGAGAACGGCGTAAAGACGTTCCTGCTGACAAACTCCGAGTTCTGGTACACAGAGGCCATCATGACGTTCCTGCTCAACTTCGATAGTGTGAGTTAGAGTGGGGGCTGGTTCAGGAAAGTATTTGGGATAGGTGGTGAGACTGGTGGAGTGTAATTGTAGAAACACGATAAGCATAGATTCATGTTGGCGATTCTTTTGGGGGATGGAAAATGGATATGCTTATGTGTATTGTGTCATTCCAGCCTTATGCCAATATGCATAGATTCATGGTGCGCGTTCCAAAAGGGCCATCGTGTGGGACTAAACAATGCATTTTATACAATGCACATTCCTTGATGTTGCTAAACCACTTGCTTTGTCAAGTTGACGAGGCAGTGTTGGCGAAATGCACACTTGTTCGTGTTGGCTCCGCTCTTTTACAAGCGTTTTGCATCAGCTTCATGTTTTATTGTGTCGTGAGAAGTGCACAATTATTTTGGTCTGCAGGCGCACTTACACAACTCAGTGTAGGGGAAGCGTGGGTAGCACCGCCATGTGGGAAACACCGCCATCCTCTCTATCGGCAAAACTTTGAATTGTAAATGTAAACACCCGCCATTTCGGTGTCCGAACGGAAACGGGACGCCGCGTGAGGTAGGTTTCGCTAAGATTTATTTGATTTTGAGATCGCAATTGCCCATTTTGTGAATTTCAAACCATCGTTGTAATCATTTGGCATGTTTGAGCAGCAAGTAAGTGGTCATTTCAAGGCAAAATGCCTTGATTTTTACGTTAAATTTGAGGGCATGAAGTGCTCTTTGTTGAGAAAGGAATTACAGAAGAATCGCGTCCCGGCTTGTTTTGCTGTCGGGGCGTTGTCGGTCCATGACTGTGAGTGGGGTAACACCGCCATGCTCGGCGGTGCTACCCCAAGGGGTGGCAAAATGGATAAAGCCGCAATGATGATTCACTCAGCTCGGAGAAGAGCTTTAGTTAGGCCGCAAACGTCGTCTGTTTTTTAACCTCACGTTTGACTTCACTGGATGTTTCGAAATAAACGTGAATTTGTCATGCTTTGTATGCATATTGTCCGCAACAAACAGTCTGATCTGTGACAAACTAACAACCAATTCTTGTGTGTCTTATATGAGTTTGAGTTACTATTTCAGACAGCAGTAACGCTTCCAAGGGTGGCTGTCACCGTAGGGCCGATCTGTGGATAACATCGCCATCAGTGGCGGTGCTACCCGCACATTTTTTGGAGGACGAAAAATGCAGGACTTGTTTTCGACGTCTGTAAAGTAGCGAAATTTTATAATGGAGCGCTGGAAACTATGCCAACATGTAGGAAAACATTCCTACTTTCACATGAATGCAAAAGAGCTTCGTTTTTACTACGCATATCAGCTCAGTGAGCAGAAATGCTTAAGGTGGCGGTGCTCCCCCCGCTTCCCCTACATGAAAACCTTTCCGTAGTGGTTCAGATGACCTTGTAAAGGACGGCCTCAGATTGAGATTCGCGGCGACTGAGCCTGGCCAGAACAATAGCACGTTCAATGATCATGTTGTATTGCTAGCATGCCCATTACACATGGCTCAAACCACGCTGCAACTCGAGAACATCAACATTGTATGTACTATGCCAGTCGCGTGCCCTTGTACCCGTGAGCGCCTATCATGTGCAACACCCGGACGCCAGACAAGGAACGCTCTCTTACCGAGCCAGTTTTGCACCAGAGACGTCAGGAATGTCCCCTCTTACCGTGGCCATGCCAGTACCATAGACTTACAACAGGTTCCCTCTCGTTATGCAAGCTATGTCCGGTATGCTCCCCTGTCGTAACATGCACTCCGACAACATTGGCTGTAGAGAAGACCACTTGCGCTCACGACTGCCCTACTCTACCGCACCAGCAGCTGCACTGACTTCTATCTGTCCACTTCCGTGCCATCAGTGATTGCGGTCGTGAATGCTGATCAGCAATCGCCCCTCCCCTTTTGACCAGCAGTTGCATTTTCGGATAGCGAGGCAGTCTCCGTCACAGGAACTAATCCCCTCCCCCCCTCTCCACCGTCAGTCGCGGTCGTGGCGCTCCTACTTTGACTACATTGTGGTGGACGCGCGCAAGCCGCTGTTCTTTGCCGAGGGCACCATCCTGCGCCAGGTGGATGAGTCGACGGGCGCGCTGAAGATCGGCCACCACATGGGCCCGCTGCAGTCCGGCAAAGTCTACTCGGGAGGTGAGGATACCGGGGGAAGGGGAAACGTCAGCCGTGCGTCCACCTCAGGAAAACTCAGGGGAAACTCAGCTTATTTATTTTCCACATAAAAGACAAAATGAATACGACAGTTACTGATGAGTGATGGGCCGGGGTAGATGGCACCTCACTGATTCAATAGAATTTTAGGATGATCGAAAATGCATGCTGCCGTGCTTATTCTTTGCTTATTCCCGATATTTATTTCCTTCTTGTGTTTTTTTGCTACGCTGACATCTGATTGCTAAAAACCAATAACTGTACGTCAAGCACACACGCGTCTACTTGTATTTTTAATTTAAGCCATCTGGGCTTTAATATAAGTAACTCCTCCATGCGTTTTCAGGCTCGTGCGAGGTGTTCTCCCGACTGATCAACGCCAAGGGTCGCGACGTGCTGTACTTCGGCGACCACATCCACGGCGACATCCTCAAGTCGAAGAAGATTGTCGGCTGGAGGACGTACCTGATCGTGCCGGAGCTGACGCAGGAACTCTCCGTGTGGACGCAGAAGTGCCAGCTCTTCAACCAGCTGCAGAGTCTTGACGTCAAGCTCGGCACGCTCTACAAGTGAGAGAATGGGTCGGGGTTTTGACTTCAGGGCGGACGGTGAATGTAACCTTGCTATGTTTTAACTAGATCCGGGTTGGGATGGAACTGGACGACGCTATGCACTTTTCTGCTTAACTACTTACACTAGTCTTGGCCTCGTTTGCTATATTCAGTAATGTAGAGTCGTTGCGCTGCGCACAATGTTCTGCCATCTGCCATTGCTGACGGTGCAATAACAGCCCCTGGCCGCCGTACCTTTCCATTCTGTCATCTAACGCATCTTTCCTCGCAGGAACATGGACTCGTCAACCAAGGAGAAGCCGGACATCCGGCAGGTGCGACAGGAGATCAAGGGCATCACGCACGAGATGGACATGAGCTACGGCCTGCTGGGCAGCGTGTTCAGGAGCGGCTCCCGGCAGACCTTCTTCGCCGCTCAGGTACGCAACTCTGTCACTGCCGCCGCGGGGTGCCGATTCGCATGAACGGTGCAGCTGTGGAGGGTGGATTGAGGAAATTCTGGACCGCTGATTCAAGTTTGTAGCTCCAGAGTGTTCCTCTCCGAATGTTTTCGTTGGACGACTGAATGTTTCGTTAATTCTTCCAACTGATGTTCGATGCTTGATATAGAAACAGACCTCACGCTTACGTGATGTTACGTTCTGAAGCTTCTATGTCTAACAGGGTTTCATAGCGTTGTCTCTTTGGTACTTGAAATGAATCTTGTTTATCTGTCTGCTTATGTTGACACTGCACTTACATAATATCGTCCCCATGCATCCCACCTTAGGACCTTATCTCGGTATCTCCGATCTGGGCTTTGCCCCATCACTGACCCTGACCCTGACCTGTGCTCTTCCAGGTGAACCGGTACGCCGACCTGTACGGCGCCACCATGCTCAACATGCTCTACTACCCCTTCTCCTACATGTTCCGCGCGCCAGCCATGCTGGTGAGTGACGCTAAATGGGAGCTTGGTATTCGGGGGGGGGGGGGGGTACTTGGCTGTTGGAACAGGGCGAGGGAGGGGTGTTTGATATTAGCCCTGGCCTTATGGGAGTGTCGGACTGTTGGTCTTTCGTTTCCATGCCAAAGGAACTCGTTTGGCTCGCGGACATTTTAGTCGAGGTCGATCAAAGGCGTTTGCTCATGCCAGTGAATAATCTCGACCATCTCAAGGCAGCTGATAGTACTACAGAATACTTCTGTATACTTTTTTCAGAATACTTTTGTAATGCAACTGCTAGACGATTCAAGGGTTTTGTTTGCTGTAACTACTTAAGACATGCATCTTTCTACTGCCATACGAGTTGACTGCAATGCATTAGTAGTCTTGCTCGTTGTCTAGAGCTGAAACCCACGGTTGGGCTCCCCGTGCTCTGAGCTGAGCCGTTCTCTGACCGCTAGCTGCCGCACGAGTCGACGGTCACCCACGAGCAGACGTTCGTGGCCGACGGGCCGGCACTGACCCGCGCCCGCACACTGGGAGGACCGGCCAGCAGCGGCGGAGGCTCGCCCACCACACCGCCGGCGTTCCTACCCTCGGTCGAGCCGCTGCCCGAGACCCAGGTAAGACTGACGGGACACGATCTCTCGGCCTCTCCTCTCAGTCTGTCCTATGTTAGGTATCCGCCGTTAGATGGCTGCCAGTATAATCCCGTCCTACAGATTTATAAAATCGACATCGGTTTCAGAAGTATGTATGTTGAATGATCGTTTGGTGTAAATTTATGTGACGAAGAGCCGAAGTTATTTCTTGCCGACTGACTTGCATGCTCTGTTGGGTGTCAGGGAGAACGTCTACTTCAGGTAACTGTCGCTGGGTGTCAGCAGCGCCGCGGCTGCTTGTTCGGCCGCTGGAAGCTGTATCCGGTCACTGTTCTTCAGTGGCATTTGTCCACTGCCTGTTCATCGCCTGTTCGTTGGCAGTCTCGTTCTTCTACTGTGATTTTCAATTGCTCGGCATTGTACATTGTCTCAAGTGTTGGATGTAATTTTTATTGTAAACGGATTGCCGAAGCGTTAATTGCGCTCGGACTTCGTATGCACTGTTCGCTGTGGATCTTCAGCCTGAAAGAGTGCAGCGCTGACGAGCGCCTGTACTCTCTGTCTGTAAAGTGTTGGCCGTTCTCTGTACAGTCTGTGTCAGTGGCACGGGTCCTGTGTGTTTTACTGTATGTACATACCGGCCTGGCCTCTTAACACTGATGGTTCACTTTGTGTTGTCAGGGTCGCCGACGGAGGGTAAGATCTCGTCACCCTGAGCTTTGTGCCAGTCTGTCGCTCTTTGCATGGCCTCTGTATCTCAGTTGTACTGCCGCACTCCGCAGACAATACCCTAAAACACAGTGCGCTCCGTTTACGTCATTGGGAGTTTTATAACCGTTAGGGTGACAGTTATTTTCTGATTTTTTGAAAAAGCAAAAAGGCAGTTCATTTTATGGTTCCATATAGCATAAAAACATCACATGCAAAGTTTCATCCGGATCGGATGATATTTAACCGTGCCTCCTCGAACTTGAATGTATACGTTTTTATCCATTGGGCCAGCAGTGTAGACCTTTCTGGTATCATAAGCAGTGTTTCTCAGCTATTCATAACGATGCAATCATAAAACAAAAGACTGTGGTACAGGAAAACTAGTGATGTATTTTAAAACGATTTAAAAAAAAAACTGAGATAAGACTCAATGCGTCTTGTGGCAGTTGGCAAACTTGGACCTCCTGAAAAATGTGAGCATCTGCGTCGAATGCTATCGCGCATTACTGCAGATGCCGGGTGGCGGTGCCTTTGCTAGCGTTTGGAAACCTTCCACGGTGTGCCTCCACCACCTGCACGATGTACTGCCCATGGTCCTCATCCTTGGTGAGGGTCAAATTGTACGCTTCCATCAGAGCGACGCTACGCTCGGCGAAGTCGTTCAACACCGTGATGCCGTTGGCCTTCCCCGCTGCGGCGACATAGCGGGGGTCGTCATGCCACTCGGCACTCGGCAGGGTCGGTCTCGAGGAAGCCGTCGTCAATTCCAAGAGTGACGAAGAACGTCCGCGACGATGTGGTCACGAAGTCTGCGCGGGTGTTCTGCGTCAGGTCTGCGCTGAGATCAACGACGGCCCGCTTGGTCCTCCGAGCCTTCGTTCGAGGCGAGGGCCTCAACCATGGCCCGCTTTCCATGCATTGGTAGGCTCCCGTCAAAGAACGCCAACGGGACTAGGCTCTCACTCAGATACCATAAGTGACGTCGGGCGAAGCCGCTGAGGAGTGTCTTTGCGTGGGACTTGTCCTTGTACCTGGCCAACGTCTTCAGAAGGGAGAGGTCGTTCTTAGGGGGATTTCGTCAGAAGGGGAGAGGTCGTTCTTGGTCGTTGATTCGTCAAGTTTGCCGTGTCGGTCTACATTTCCACGTGGTACACCGCGCCGAGCCCAACATCGGCCCGTAAGAACGACCAATCCCTTCTGAAGACGTTGGCCAGGTACAAGGACAAGTCCCTCGCCAAGACGCTCCTCAGCGGCTTCGCCCGACGTCACTTGTGGTATCTGAGTGACGGCCTCGTCCCGTTGGCGTTCTTTGACGAGAGCCCTTACCATTGCATGGAAGGCGGGCCATTGTTGAGGCCCTCGCCTCGAACGAGGGCTCGTAGGACTTTTACCAAGAGGGCCGACGTTGATCTCAGCGCAAACCTGACGCAGAAGACCCTCGCAAACTTCGTGACCACATCGTCGCGGACGTTCTTCGTCACCCTTGGAATTGACGACGGCTTCCTCGAGCCCGACCCTGCCGAGCGGCATGACGACCCCCGCTATGTCGCCGCAGCGGGGAAGGCCAACGGCATCACGGTGTTGAACGACTTCGCCGAGCGTGGCGTCGCTCTGATGGAAACGTACAACTTGACCCTCACCAAGGATGGGACCAGAGGTAGTACAGGGACCCGCAGTTGCTACTGTACAGCGACCCTGAGTAAATTGTCTCAGCACCCTCACAGGGAACAACGATAAGCTGTCAGAGGGTACTCACAGGAAACCTCAGCTGCTCTTGTACAGGGACCAGCAGTCGATATCAATGTTATCGGTTGTTACTGGACAGGACAGACGGTTAGACTTGGGGTTCGTGTACAGTAGCAACTGCGGGTCCCCGTACAACCTGCAGGCGGTAGAGGCACACCATGGAAAGTTTCCGAACGTTAATATAGGCGCCGTCACCCGGAATCTGCAGTAATGAGCGATAGCATTCGACGCAGATGCTCAGACTCGTCAGGAGGTCCAAGTTTGCCAACTGCCATAAGACTCATTGAGTCTTATCTCAGTTTTTTTTTTATCGTTTTACAATGCATCACTAGTTTTCGTGTACCACAGTCTTTTGTTTTATGATTGCATCGTTATGAATAGCTGAGAAACGCTGCTTATGGTTTACATACCAGAAAGGTCTACACTGCTGGCCCAATGGCTAAAAGCGTACACATTCAAGTTCGAGGAGGCACGGTTAAATATAATCCGATCCGGATGAAACTTTGCATATGATGTTTTTATGCTTTATGGAACCATAAAATGAACTGCCTTTTTGCTTTTTCAAAAAATCAGAAAATAACTGTCGCCCTAATAACTGTGTGCTGGTCCGAGTCCGAAGCTGGTGCGATTTTTTTCTTTTATCCACTCTCTTGGTTTGGCTAGTCGGCGGGATTTACGTTTGGTGCTTCCGGGTGTATGTATACATCCCATAGTGACTCCGCCGTGTGTCTGGGAGGTGTGTTTCACTCCTCAGATGAACGGACCGACGATTTTTCCGCCGCCTACCAAGCCATTGGCCTGCTGAGCTTTGCTGAGCTGTGGGTGTTTTTGGCGACTGCAGACGCAGCCGCAGACCTGACGCGGCCGCAGCTCAGACCGCCCTGCCTCTAAATGTGCCAGCTTTGCTGTGTTGTGACTGTCCTCGCTCTGTGTGCGTTTGCGTTTTGTTGGCTCCTCCGACATCTCGAGGTAATCGGCGATCGTTTCGACAGAGGCCTACAGCTGCTCCAACCCTCGCTGGCTTTTGCCAGCTCAATCGCGTTGGCGGCATGCTTGTATGGTCGTAAATGGCCCACCGGTGACCTAGCGTGTTTCCCCTTCATTACATTTTATTGCAACTGACGAACAGTGTCAATTTTTCTTGATATTATGGTCCATGCCTTTGGGCACAGATAAAAAGCTCCTGGGGAAGGTGCTTAAAAATGCTGAATGCACAGTGCACACACATGTACGTGTATTTCATTGGCATGGTGACTTATGGTGGTTTGGCGCAGAGCATTACTGAAGCCTTATGTTTATATCTTTTTAAATACATTACCAATCGTTTGAATTTTAATACTAAAACCAGCAAGCACATGCTGTATATCTCGCCATTGGCAAGTAGAACACACCGAAGCTCCTCATGACCCCACTGCCTCATCTCAGCACACCCAGTGTTTGTAGCGTTGTAGCGCTGCCATCCCTCGCGTGCTGAGCCGGTCACCGACCTATAGTTAGGTGTCCGGCTCCCTGCTGTGTCCACGCTCTCCCGCCTCCCAAAGTGAGAGCTCATGTTAACTCACTCTCTCTGACCGCCCAGATGCTGGAGCGTTCTCACACACTCACCAGACCGGAGATGCCACGCAGTCTCACCCACCACCACGACGACGATGAGGATTCCGACGACAGCAACGGCTCCAAGTAGGCGCCGCTCGGTCTCGAGTGTCGGCTCGTGTCGCCGTGCCGTGGTCCGGCCGCCGGGGCTCGATACCCGTGCCGGTTTTAGGTCTGTTCAGTGAGCGGGGTAAGCCGAGGCGCTATGGGCCTCTGGGTCGGCTGTACAGTGTACAGGACGGACTGCCGGGCGGCTGCGGGTGGTTTGTTCTGGGCGGCTTGCAGCCACAGGGCCGATGCCGTGGCCCGTCAGTCGGTGGGTGTCGCCACAGAGTTACCACCGGAACTCGCAGTGTGGGCGGAGACTGAGGCTCCTACTGCCCGCCTCCGGCTGATGCTGACGCCAATGACGCTACTGACTTGCGCTGACAATCAGCCGCCGCCGCGCTGCCCCGCACACGGGTGTGCTAGAGTACTATTGCCATGCTTTACCGCGTCGTTGTAGCGGGTTTTTACTCGGGCGCGGTGCGACGCTGCGCCCGGCGTCCGACGTCGTGGCCAGCGGTGCCCAGGTGAGGCCGGGCGCGCTTCTGTCTGTGTTAACGCTCTCAGAATCTAGACCCATCGCTTAGTGCCGCGGCGCTATTTATTTTTATTAGAGGTTAGTCTGTGTGTAGACGTTGGCCGGCCGCGGGCCCGGCCGGTGCGCTGTTTTAGTCCCTAGTGGAGGGCCGAGTGTCTGTGACCGGATTGGTGGCTGCCTGCGAGCGGCCTGACCGGGCGGCTCCACTCCATTGTTGCTTCAATACAGAGAACACATACCGACGGCTGGCTGGTGTTTATTTGGGCGAGTCAGCGGCATGGGATCAGGCCTGACCACACTGCCGGCACGACCAAGGTATTCTGCAGTTCCGATTTGATGTTTACACAACGTGACCGCGGGAATTTGACGGCTTGCTCAATGCTGATCCGAAAGAGCGCCACAGCGTATTGTACACGTGTAGCAATTTAGATTTTAGAGCGAAATCGGGTAGTACCTACATTTAATCTGAAATGTGAGTTGAATATCACTGATTATAGTGTTTGCTGACAGGATACATCGGTGATGATTCAATATTACCTTTAGATGACAAATCCCGAGAAAATCTGAGTGAATTGTTCGTAAATGTGTTAAAAATTCGTCCCCTTACCTACCGATCTATACCTATTAGCTATAAATAGCTATGCTATAATAGTCAACGTTTCGTTTGCACGAGCGAATAAAGTAAGGAGACTAGAATTTAGCGATGAAAACAGCCAACTACATGCGTGCGTCACGTGCGTCGGCCGTCACGTCGCAATGCGTGAATCGTTACAATGGCTGTCCATAGATGTCGCCACGAACAAACGCCTGAAGTTAGGCTGTTCCGCAGTACGCGCGCGCTCAACTTTGACTTGATCGCATAGTGCGCCCACCGGTCGGCTGTTCCGGCTGTCAGTGCCCAGTGACACTTCTCAGAGAGCTGGTTTTATTCTAGCCACATAGCGTGTTTCTCTCAGGTCTCGTCAAGCACCTCCCTTTACAACGAATGAATTCCGTTAGACGGTGCCAATCGACAGCACGGATCCTTATGTTAGAAGCAGGTTAGAAGTCTTCCCGCTCCTGGCAAGTGGCACAGGCCACAGGGGCCTTCAGACACTCACCTCCTGACAGCGAAGCTTCCCGACATGCATCATTTTCAGCTTATCGGGAGTCCCAACGGAAAAACATGAACGACCCGGAGGAGGCCGGCTACTGGTACCTACATGGGGTCGACCGCCGAGCTCGATGGATTTGATTTGGCAACCCCCAGGAATTAGGATACGATCTCCCGGCAGAGGTGACAGCAGGCCCTTCCCTCTTTCTGACAGACGAGCATCCTTTCTGTGGCGCAATGTAGCCATGGTCTCTTAACCCTAGAACGCCTAGGGGGGGGGGGGTTGTATCAACCCCCCCCCCCTGAGGTTTTTTCGAAGTGCACGCTAAACGGCTTGTCGTAGCGGGCTGAAATTTTCAATACCCTCTGGGGCAACCTTTGCGCATCTTTTGCCGAAAAAAATTGATCGGGTCATGTCAGGTCACGGAGTTATGACGTCATAAGAGGTACAGCCTCCGGCCGGATTTTCACAAACTGAGTGCCAACGCTCGAGGTTTCCTGCCGGTGGTACGGACATCGGTTGATGGATCGTGATGACACTTCCCATGCATGTTGGGGCAAGTATTGGCTATCATATGGTATAAGAAATTTGACCGGGTCAGGTCAGGTCACGGAGCTATGACGTCACAAGAGGAACAGCGTCCGGTACTATTTTTGAAAAGCGCCCGAACCACTATTTTGCTAATTCTTGTCACCTCAATGGGAATATGCAGCAATATTAGCTTCTATAGGGAGCAAATGGACCTCCCAAATCCAAAAATATAATCAGATTTCAAAAATTTAAATTTTGATTTTTCGAATTTCTGCCGCCGACTGTGACCTTGCCGACTTCCGGCGCTCCCAACGCGCCATTTTTAGAGCTAGGGAAACGAAATACATACCAAACGATAGAGAATTGATCAAGGAACACGATATATCGTGTTCCTTGAACACGATATATCGTGTTCCTTAAAACCTTCACTATAGTGAAGGTTTTAAGTCGATATCTCCCACCGTGTTGCCGCAATCGCCGCCGCCGAAAGTTGAAAAAAGTATATTTTTCCGAAAATTTGACCTTTGACCGGTCAAAAGTAGGTCAAATGTTGACCTAGGACCAAAAAATATACCACCAATCGCGAGATCTCGTTGAGAGCAATCCGTTGGTTTTTTCCGCTAAGCTCTACGACCTTCCGTTTCGAAACGCCAAGGGGGGGGGGGTCGTAACAACCCCCCCCCCTGGTCGTTCGTGTTATGAGAAATGGCCTGGTCGTGCGAGGGTTAAGGAGCGAGGTAAGAAGCCTTTCACTGATTGATCTCGAGGGCCACGAGTCCTCCCGCTGAACTTTCCGCTAGGAGTGACCGGACACTGGGCAGGCGAAAGACGAAACCTGCTTCTAACATAAGGATCCGTGCTGTCGATTGGCACCGTCTAACGGAATTCATTCGTTGTAAAGGGAGGTGCTTGACGAGACCTGAGAGAAACACGCTATGTGGCTAGAATAAAACCAGCTCTCTGAGAAGTGTCACTGGGCACTGACAGCCGGAACAGCCGACCGGTGGGCGCACTATGCGGATCGGAGCGGTCGAAAGACGAAAAGTTAGATGGGAAAGAAACGTAACTACTCGTTCACTTCAAAATGAAGGCCCATCGCTCCCCATTCGGCTCGCACTTCGCTCGCCCATTCAACGATTACGATCACTTCCTGTTTATTGGAGTCGAACCTTTTCGTTTGTTTTTTGTAGGTAGCAGGTCACGCCAATCTAGCCGATAGATGGCGACACGTAAATGGGCTCTTCATTCTGCCGTGCGTGCTCCCTTCTTGTATCGATCAAAACCCGCTAGTTTCCTCCTATTCCTGGCGTTGAAGCTTCCTTGAGAGTATAAGCCGTGACTGGAAAATAATCTTGTTAGGAGAAGCCTCACCAAAAACCTTCATAAGGTGGCTGTGTCTAGAAAGAGGCGTTTCTATGTTCGCCGCACTCGCTCACCATTATTCGCGGTATCCACCATTGGGCCGTCACACCCTAGCGAAGTTTTGGCGTGTAGCAGAAGCGTGAGTTAAACAACCCTAGCCGGCTGCTATTTCAATAGCATACATGTGAACTTTCAGAAAGAAGAGGAAGTGCTGTGTGTGTCGTGGAAATGCCGTGGAACAATATATTTTTGTTCCTTGAAGCTTTAAAACGGTAACAGTGATCTAGATTCACAATCGGCAATCATACCACCCACAAGACAAACTCGCGATGTTAGGTTGCTGTCAGTCGGAAGAAGCAAGAGAACAGCATCGTATCAATCGAGAAATCGAAAAGCAGCTCAAAAAAGACAAGAGAGATGCCAGGAGAGAGCTCAAGCTTCTGTTGTTGGGTAAGAATTCAAAGTAACCAATTTCACAAAGCCTAAGCCTGTATGTGGCTGAATTATGTGCAATATAATAAGTAAGGTGGTTGTTTCAATACATCTTCCTGCCTACATAAATTTCTAAATAAAGTTATCCAAATTGATGGAGAAAACAATGTTTTTATCCTAGTTTGTTTGCTTGTAATTATGTGTGTTCGTAATTTCAGTGCAAGGGGTGCAACATATTCTATGCCTATATCAATACATTCATTGTTTGCACTTTTTGACTGTATTCTGTATGCTTCTATTGTCCAGTTAAATAAAACAACAATTTTAATCAAAGTTCACTGATTATGAGACCAGATTTTGCTCTTCAGCTGCATCCCTTGAGCAGCACTCAGGTTATCTCTGAAGTTTGTGTAAGGCTCACATTGACATTAGGTGCTAATTAGCAATAATGGAAAGCTGCATCCCATTAGTTGCCATGCCAATACAGTCTCATGACCCACCAGACCCTGTCATCACATTTGTCCTGAGGGCTCAATTCATGTGCTGGTGGCTCTTATGTGCCAACAGCATCCATGAGATGCAATGAGTTTTGCCCCTTTGTAGTAATCCTCACTCTGCCATAGTCTAAAGAAAACTCAATATGAACATGACATTGTGCCTGTCAACAGGCACTGGAGAGTCCGGCAAGTCAACCTTCATCAAACAGATGCGAATCATTCATGGTGTTGGCTACACAGATGAAGATCGGAGGGGCTTCACGAGGCTGGTGTACCAGAACATCTTTATGGCCATGCAGAGCATGATCAATGCCATGGACTTTCTCAACATAGAGTACAAGTCATCTGAAAGTAGAGTAAGTAAGGGGCAAAGAGATCTTTGATGTGTGTTAGTAACATTCAGTTGGCTAGTGTTTACCTACCTGGATTACTGTCAGGGAAGAGAAGCATCTAACATTCTATGGGATGAAGTGGAATGGGGCATGCCCAATAAGTTCTTGTCAGCTGGCAACTAAGAGGTGTTTTGCTGTTTTAGATAAATGGCTGCCTATGGCTGGTGATAACAGCTGCACAGATGAGCTATTTCTTCATCATATTATTCAACTTGTATGTCATGAATCCCATTAGTCACTAGTTCATTGATAAGCAAAGTAACACTATCAAAATTATAGACAGTGTATTTCATTGCAATTTTTATTTACACAAAACTTTTTGTTGCTCAATCTATGCCTTCCAGATGGGATATTACCTGTTAGTTTTGGAAGGAATGTATGATTTTATTGGGAATAAAACTTTTCTCTTAATCTTATCTTAATCTTAGTCTTAAGTTCTTAGAGATTATCATGCATAATATTAAGACATGTTGAAACAGTTGTGTCTAGTCGTATACTGTTGTTCAATAATTAAAAGGTCGAATGACACTGCCATCCACCATTCCCTTTTTATTGCCTTTTAACTCATAGGCAAAAAGATTATGTGTCATGCTACACTTGACTAAACATTCATATTTGTTCTTCTTCATGAGACATTATTCAGCTTTGTTGTATGATCTGTAATACTTTTTGAAATAATGTTAATTGTAATGAAATCTATAATGGACCAGTTAGCCATTGATGATCAAGTTGATAGCTTTGCATTTTATTTGAAAGCCCACTGTCTCACTGAAAAGGAGGCTCTTGTTTGTGGATTACATGATTTAGGAATAAAAGCTGGCTAATCCTCATACTGCTGTATGTTGTCTGGTGCTCCAATGGGTCTTGCTGCTTACCCCAGAAGCCCTTTGGAAAGTTTATGTCTGTGTTTAGTGCAAGGACAATTTTTTAATCTAA